AGCGGAAAAGAAAATATATAAAGAAAATATACTGGGAGATTGAGAGATTCGTCTTCGCAACACACACGAGACTTGATTGCCGGAGAGCGAGAGGATTCGATCGTTCCGAATAGTTACCGCTGTCGTCTTTGTGATCTACCGGGATGGTTAGCGTTCAAAATTTACCATTTCCCGCTATCGAAATTTAAAGAGTGAACAAACGGAATTCGGTCCGGAAGTTTTCGCGAGTGTCAGTGCCGACTCGAAGCGAGGGCGAGAGGGCCCTCGCTGCAGACGAGAGAAACGACGATCGGCGGAGCATCCCCGGAGGTCACCTGTAAGGGTCGGAGTCAAGGAGCGAGCTGCGAATTTTGTAAGACCACCTACTCGTTTCTTATTCGTCTGAGTCCCGTTGCTGTTAAAATCGTTGTGCACGTCGAGTGGCCGCGTAGAGACACTGACATCGGGGAACGTAATGTGATCTGGCTGTCAATTTCGGGAGCCGTACTGTGCCGCGACCCCTGAAAATCGTCTCGAGAGATCGAACCTCCTATCGGCTTGAGAAAGTGAATCTCCATACGGCGAGTTGTACTATTGCGATTATCGGGATAAGCGCATCCCGATATAATAAAGACTTTATATCGAAACTCAAGGACTCCTTTTTTCGACCGATCTTGAGTTTCCCCATACACCCATCCCGCCTCCGACTCAAATAACGCGGAGCTACCGGTCCCGTGCAGTTCTCGGACTTGCGACTTACTTTAGCAAATTTTGGTGCCCTTCGTGAGGAGCTGCAGCCTTACCGCATCTGGCGCTCAACGTTTTTTCGGGAGTCACATCCCGAGGACCGCGGTAATTTGCCGACGTGGCGGACAGGCGACTGTCCGCCTTAATAATTGGGAAAAAGCGTCGCAAATTTTTACATTGGATTTGTTTTCAGCGACATGAAAATCTCTTATCATTTCCATAAATCAAAAACATCTCTAATAACATGAACTTAAATGCAACGAGTTAATCGTTCTTATAAATTCAAGGGTTAATATTCACAAAATCGGCGAGTAACACAAAAGTAAGTTTATTTGTAATAGACACGTATTTTTTTGCTCAATCTTACTTTTAAGGGATAAAACATCCTTTGAAAGGTACTCGGTTATATTAACCACCGAGGCGCGTTGTTTACAGCTTATTTTCCAAAAATGGTATTTCAGAAACCAACTTTGTTATATATGGATGAATTTGGCGTGAAATTTTCTTTCATTTTTGTTGTAACAAAATTTTTAATTTTGGAAAATTAATTGATGGTGGTGGAGGTATTTTGCAAAATTTCATTATATTATTTTCAAAAACGTTAATTATCATTAAACTTTTATCTAAGAACTTTTTTTTAATCTGTTACGATTCCGAAGATATTTCCTCAAAACAAAATATTCCAAATTATCTTTCAGAGGTTTTCATCCTTGCAACAATTGCACCATTGCCGATATAAAAAAAATACGTGTCTATTATTTCTCACTATTCTACAAGTGCACTGAGTTTCAGTAAAATCGGTAAGTGACACAAAGATAGGTTTACTTTTAAATAATATAAGGTACATTTTACTTTTAAGTAATAAGGTACTTTTACTTTTAAGTAATATAAGGTACATTTAATCTGGCTTCCAAGTTAGTGCTACTTGCCTCCTAGTTGTGCCTCTGAAAAAGTGAACTAGAATGTTTACTAAAATGTTAGAAATGAATCATGAAATGTTAAAAATAAATCCACAAAGGATGCGACATCATCTAGCTCAGAAGCTAGATCAAGCATTTCCCCACACCATGAAAGCCTAAAATATTCAAATAGACAAAAAGATATTTGGAAGAAATGTAGAAAACATCTTATATGATATTTTAAGTCTAAAATGTCTAAAAAATTTTTTTAGATATTTGAAAGATATGTTTAAAACGTTTGAAAGATATCTGAAGATATATTATAAGGATCTAAAAGACATTTAAAAAAATATAAAAATTCTGAAAATATCTAAAAGATATTTCATTATAGATATCTTCAAGATATTTCTAAAAGATATCTTTTAGATAATTTTTAGAAATATCTTGAAGATATCTATAATAAAATATTTTTTACATATAAGATAAACCGAAATTATAGAAAGCTCCTTTGAATAACTAACAGTAAGATTTGAAAAATGGCAGTAAAGAGCAAGCACTGATGTCTTAGTGCTATTAGATATTAATACTACTTATTTAATATTAACATGATAGTGAGAGGATAATATGTCCAGCATGTTAAACGCACGTATCGAAATTTCTTCGATCATCGTACGTGGCGAATCAACCTTTCACACTTAGACCGATCCTTGAGTCCCAAATTTGTATATATATTTATTTTCCCAAAACCCCCATTAAACCGATGACTCAATTAATCAACTTTCCACACTTAGACCGATCTTTGATCGTCATCTTTGAGTTATCGGCTTAATAGGGGTTTTGGGAATGTAAATACTCGTATATATAAAAATTTGGGGCTCAAGGATCGGTCTAAGTGTGGAAGGTTGATTCTCCGCGTACGATAATCGAAGAAATTTCGATACGTGCGTTTAACATGCTGGACATATTATCTTCCCCCTATCATATTAATATTAAATAAGTAGTATTAATATCTAATAGCACTAAGAAATCCGTGCTCCTTACTGCCATTTTTTAAATTTTACTATTTTTTAGATATTTTAAGATCTCGATGTTTTCTGTAGTATAAGATATTGTTGACACAGAATTTTGCAAGAAGTAAAATCGAATTGTGCGTAAATGAAATGTTTAAAGGTGTTTAATCCACAATCTTTACGACGGTAGATTATAAAATAATGCATACGACGTATTTCGGCACAAAAAACAGCGTAAGAACGGCACAAGATAAAGCTGCGTGTGTAGGTTTATTTGATAAATATATTCCTCTACGAACAAATATAACAGGTTTCATTTCTTTACGCTGGATGAATATCGATCTGTATGCGTATGAAGAATTAAATCTATATCAACACCAATACCAACATGCACAGTTAAATACAAATGTGTGTTTTAATACTTATAATATAATTATAATATAATTTAGAGTTGAGGAACAACGCGTTATTTTTTTCAGTAATGACTTAATATTGATCAGTGTTGCGAGCAATTAATTGCTTTTTTAATTAGTTATCATGTTTAATTGACAATTAATAATGAGCTAATGTATTTGATCGTTTAATTGACAATTGGTTTCAATAAAGAGCTTAGCCGGATAAGTATGTAAAATCTGCCCCCGCACGTATTGAGTTTTAATTAATGTCATAAGTTTGCATTCATGTGATATGAAACTCTATCAAATTTTAACCTCAAAATTTCATTTTTGTGGAGGGATAAAGAAAAATTTTAAAAATTATTTTTCTCAAAAACGGCTGAACCGATTTCAATGAAAAAAACACTATAACTATCAATGAGACTATTTTCTAGAAAAATCAAAAAATTTTTCTGACTAAAATTTCAGATGAAAACAATTTTTTAAATTATTTAAAAAAATTTTTTGAGGTTATGTTCTATAATGACAATAACCATTTTTCACATGTATATTCTTTAAAATGTGTTCTTCAACGTATATTTTTGCCAAATTTTTTGGAATAGTGTAACATTCTGAAAAAAAATGAAAATCGTGTACGCTATTAATTTAAATCATTTTCTTTAAGTTGTGTCATTCTCGCACGCAAGATATAAATCCTATCGTATTTTATAGTATTTTATCTGGTTATAAACAA